TAGAGGGGCAGGAAGTCTCGACCTTCTCCCATAGAGCGGCTGGTGGGTTTGAACTGCTGACCCACACGGAACCCACTACGCCACCAGGGCTCCTCACAGTCCCACAGGTGGCCATGACTAACACCTTGAACTAGAGGTCAAGACTGTCCAGGCTGGGATCCCAGCACCACCCGTGTGACACCCTGGGCAGGTTATTTTCATCCCTGTGCGCCTGTGTCCCCATCTCAGCATTGGGGCTATTAACGGCCCCTGACCTCCCTGAGGTTTCAATGGGCTCATTCACCTGGGACTTCGCCTGTGGCCCGGCCCGTGGACAATAGGGATCTGTCCGTGGGGTACAACAGTGTGTCCGCTGCTCCCCACACCAGTCCCCACGTGACCGTCTTCTGCGGACCTCTCTGTCAGACCGCTGTTCTGCCTCCCTCTCTGGGCGGCACAAGGCCACCTGATCTGAGCGGCTGGCTGGGCTCCAGAGCAGCAGCCGCTTCATCCAGAGAGAGGAAAGGGCAGGGCCCCTTGGGGACCCAGTCAACTGCGGATACTTCAGCACACGAAGCATTCCTCTCCCGCGAGAGGCCAAGGGCAACAGTCTCACGATAAGCCCGGTCTTTCCAGACCAAGAGAGAGAGACAGAAAGGCTCAGGGACTCTTTTACTTTTTATTCTTTTTGTAAGGAATCCGCTGCCGCTTCTGTGCTCTGCTCCGGCTGTCGCCTGACACCGGGACCAAACAATTGCACCAGTGAATACGTTAACCCTCTGAAGTGAATCCAGGTAACAGGAGCACGGGCAGTTTGAGGTGGAGTGGGTGTCAGAGGGCACCCAGGTTGACTGGCCCCCCGTGTTACAGAGCCTGTGCCTACGTCTGGAGCAGCAGAGCCATGGGGGTTGGCCACTGGGCTGCTCACCGCAGAGTGGGCAATGGGAACGCCCGGGCCTGTCAGGGTGAGAGGTGTGCCTGCATTGTAGCACCGTGAGGGGATTCAGTGGGGACACATCTGTAGTAAGTACTAGTGACAAAGTTCAGAAGAGGAGGCAGAGTCTAGTGGAGGGCCATGGCCTAGGGGTCGGGGGGCCTGGGCTCTGGTCTCATGCTCACCCCTTGGCCACCTGACCCAGAGCAAGTCCTGGTCCCTCGCCAGACTCCCGGGCTCTGGTCCGGCTGGACACCTGCCGCTCCCTGAGTCCTTTCTGGGCCTTGCAGCCTCTCCCAGGGCATACCTTCAGCCCCTCCCGGCCCGCCTGTGACTTCAGAATGCAGCAGAGAGCGGGTGCAACCCGAGAGCTGGAGTGTTTGTGCTCTCCCTAAGAAAGGAGGCTCAGGGGCCCTTCCAGCAATCCCACACTGTGATTGCAAATCAGGTAACAGAGCTGCCTCCATCAAATCTCCGGCTCCGTGAAGGGGCTCATTGTGGGGCTGCTCACACCGGAGTTATCTCCTGTCCGCTCTCGGTCCCCTTGTCTTCCACTTGGACTCAAGAGAAAGGGGTCTTTCAAAAAGCCCTTCTCAAAGCCACAATGGTAAGAGCCACCCAGGCCTCAGATTTCCCACCCAACCCCCAAAGACAAGAAGCTTGGCTGTTCACAGGACGTTGGATGGTTGAACCCACCAGCAAGCTCCACAGGAGAAAGGTGCGGCTGTCCGCTAACAGCCGCAGGTTTGGCAGCCCTACAGTGGGAGTTCTGTCTGTCCCGCAGAACAGAGTCTGTGAGTCCGGCTCTACTTAGTGGCTTTGGGTTTCATTTTACTTCTGGGTTTTACTCCCCAACCCACACTCCCAGTGACTTTCCTGCTAGCTGGGGTGGAGTGGGGGTGGGGGTGGGGAGGTGTGCATACTTTGGATCCTGCCCCCCCACATCCTACTGTGGGCTCCAGGCCAGCTGGAGAGCTGGCTGAGCCTCAGGTTCATGGCCTCGCCTGGGAGAAGAGTAGACAAGGGAAGGGCTGGGAATGCACTGGGGGCCAGGAGCCCTGGTGGTACAGCGATTCTGTGTGGGACTGCTAACCGCAAGGTCAGCAGTTCAAAACCACCAGCCGCTCCTCAGGAGAAAGACAGGGCTTTCTGCTCCCATGAAGAGTTAAAAATCTGGAAACTCCCAGGGCTGTTCAACCTTGTCTGGTAGGGCCAAGAGGAGTCGGCATCGACCCGATGGCAATGGTTTGGTTAGTTTTGAGACACCCTGCTCTTTGGGTGAGGCACTGAGGGGAACCGTGCTTCGGAGCTTGACCAATTTCGAAGCGAACCAGGGCCCCCCTGGGGAATGAGAGGGTTCCACCTCCACCGTCAGCCCCCTCCCCCATCCTCCGCTTCCCCAGTCACTTGTCGCAGACCCTCACGCTCAGCCTATTTGCAGTCACCACCTAATCCATTCCCAGTCCCACTGTGGTGGCCCAGGGCAACAACTCTAACAGTTCAGAGGGCCAGAGGCAACCAGGCAGTGAGACCTTGGGGGTTCCCCCTTCACCTCTCTGGGAACATCAAAGCCTCTGCAACAGGGCAGAAAGGGCTGCCCTTTCTTATCTCCAGGGACAGAACTGTCCCACCCTACTGAGGAGGGTGATGGGGTTCCCACACCAGCCCCTTCCACCCTGCACCCCTCCAGTCCATGCTTCAATCCCACGGGCCCAAAAAAGCCTAGACTCTAGTCTGGCATGAAAACCCCACCCCACCCCAGGTAATCGAGCCCTCTAGACACCCACTGAGCTATACCACCCTCAGCCACCAAACTTGGCTGGTGGTGTTCACTCAACCTGGAATTCATGGTTTGAATTCTTGCGGTAGGAAAACTCAGGGTCCATTTCCAACTGTCACCTGCTGCGAAGCCTTCCACCAATAATAATCCGTTCTTCCTCGGGGCTCCCGCTTAGCACACAGCGGGTGCTGCCCTCCTTCCCAACGGACTAGGCCCCCAGAGAGCAGAGTCCTCACCTGGGGTGCCCAGCGGCTGACCCAAAGCCTGGCAGGCAAAGGGTCACACCTATCCAACCAATAGAAGTAGCGACGCCCCATTTAATCCTCCCTTTTTAAGGTGGTCCCCTAATTCCATGGGACAACAAGTAGGCTTAAAACGAATGATTGCAAGTCTGGTTAGACCAGAGGATGTACACTGGTACAGATAGGAACTGAAAATACAGGGAATCCAGGACGGATGAGCCCTATAGGATCAGTGGTGTGAGTGGCAAAACAGGGAGGGTAAAGGGAGAATGGGTAGGAAAGAGGGAACCGATTACATGGAACTGTGTGTGACCTCCTCCCTGGGGGACAGACAACCGAAAAGTGAGTGAAGGGAGACGTCGGACAGGGCAAGATATGACAAAATACCCATTTATAAACTATCAAGGGCTCGTGAGGGAGGGGGGAGCGGGGAGGGAGGGGAAAAATGAGGACCTAATGTCGGGGGTTTAAGTGGAGAGAAAATGTTTTGAGAAACGATGTACAAATGTGCTTTACACAATTGATGTGTGTATGGATTGCGATAACAATTGTATGAGCCCCTAATAAAATGTTAAAAACAAAAAACAAAAACAGAATGATTTGATGATGACAAGGCCCGGAGCCTGAGTGTTCCTTGGCTACACCACTTGTTTGGACTGAAACCCAGACGAACGGAAAAAGCCCGGTGGAGCCCCCAAGGGCCTAGCCATCAGGGCTACCTGCTCAACAACTGGAGCGGCCTCCTCCAGGGTACTGCTCCTCCTGGCAGGGCAGCACAGTTGGAATGGACAGGATGAGGCTGCCCAGTCGGAGGGCCTGGGACACTAGACACAGATTCTGGGTTGTCTAGAAATCAGCTGCCTAATCACAGGTGTAGGCAAGACCTGAAAAGGAGCCAGTGGATTCCCATCACTTCCTAGATGGAGAGACTGGGGTCTAGGGACAATGGCCGGGGCCATGAGTGTAAGAAACCAGGCCATGGTTGGAAGTGGAACATCAAACCTTGATACCTCTTCTGACTCATGGCTGCCCCATGTGTATCACAGCAGAACCAGGCCCAGTGGCTGGTTTCTTCCAAGTATGTCTCCAGACTTTCTTTCAAGGTGCCTCTGGGGAGGCTGCAACCTTCAAACCTCCAACCTCCAGGTGAGCAGCCAAGCACATGAACTGTCTGCACCACCCAGGGGCTCCTATCACACCTCTAGGCCTGTCCTCTTCCGGTTAAACTCTGCTCCCCTACATGACCCAAACCAGTGCCATGGACGGATTCTGACTCATTGTGACCCAGCACACATTTCTGAGGCTGGTGACCTTTATGGAAGCAGAGGACCTCACAGCTTTCTCCTAAGAAGCAGCTAGTGGGTTTGAACTGCTGACCTTGCAGTGAGTCCAACTCCGACCAGTCATTGCCACCAGGTCTTCAGAACCTCCTACAGGAGCAGTGATTCTTTAAAGGTGAGGGACCATGGTACCAAAGGATGGTTTTCACATGGATCATTGCTAAACCACAATCCGACAAGCATTTTTTCTTTGTTTTTAAGTGAAATATTAAAAAATGTAAAATATGTCAAATGGAAAACTCAGTTAATTCATTACTTTTCATTAAGCTGTTGCTCGGTGCTGGGCGTTGACTCAGATACCTGGGACGGATATATCAAGCAAACTGTCTGGCAGGCCGTCGGTGAACCCCCACTGGCCCTGCTCATGGCTCCCGCGGGCATGACCAAGCTCCAGGACCTGCCTGCCTCCTGATGCTGCGCATCCTGGCAAGCCGTGGGCATGAGGAGACCTTCTTAAAGATGCCAACTATGAACTGGGATGATGAACCATCAAACAGGTAAAAAGGGGTTCTTCTCGTCCTTTATTTCTCAGCGATTTCATCCACAACACATTAAAGAAAATAATAAAATCACAAACCTGCCAAGGCAGTGTTTATCCCGATGTCATTGGTGTAAAAGGGTAAAAGAGCGGCGGCTGCAGGAAGCGTGCACCTGTCCCTCCCCCGGGGTAAGAGAGACATTTCTGCCTGCCCGGTGACGATGCGGTCCCCTTTGGTCCTACTCACATCGGGGTCCAACTCGTCCAGCTCGTTTTCCAGGGTCCTCAGCTCGTCCTCGGTCAGGGCGCCAAGGACTTCATCTTCATCCAGGTCCCGGTACTTCTCCAGCTCCCGTCTGTACGACATTGTGGGAGAGGGCGTCTCCTCTCTGTCTTAGAGCTTCCGTGGGGATCGCTGACCTACCAGAAAGCGGGGAGACAAGGCCTTATTAGAAAGAACCACCGTGGTCAGGAGGGATGCTCTCAGAGATGCAAACGGTTGCTCTTCATCTGTGCGGCACCCTGGGGGTGTTTCATAAAACACCAGGGTAACAATTACTGCGATGGAGTACTCAGCAGATGGTGAACCAAAGTGGGGTTCGTTGTTTTCAGTTCAAAACTCCCTCCCACGTGGTGGCCCGGGGCTGGGCCCTCGGGAGGAGAGGAGGAGGGGATGAAGTAAACCCAGACCCTGCCTGTGGGGAGGCCTAACAGGAGTCTGATGAGCTGTGCAGAGAGGGGTGGGCCCAGTGCTGGGGACCCAGGGAGCTTCGCTTAGTGAGGGGATGCTGAGGCTCACAGAGGAGGTGACTGGCCTGTGAGCCGGGCTTGGCGGGTGAAGGACTCCGCTGGGGGACTGAAGGGCTCAGGATCTCTTGTCTTCCCAGAAGAGGCGAGAGGCGGTGTGTGTGTGGCAGAGAGCACTGAGTGGAACTGGGCCAGCCAGCCAGCCACGGGGGAATTTAGGTTTTCCTCCTAGTGGAAAAGGTTGGCTTGCAGCAGGAGCTGCTGTTACCTCTCTTCCCACCTGACCTGAGCCATCCGCTTTCCCAAGATGCAGGGCTGAGCAGGGAGGCAGCTGCTGGGGCTCCTTTCAGTGCTTCAGATTGGAAAGAAGGACAGTCATGTGCCTCCGTGTGACTGTCTTCATCACAGTCCTCGTCTTCAGACTCCCAGCCAATGGTTAAAACCCATGCTCATCGGGGAAACGCTGGATGGAATGTTCCAGAGTAGGGAGGCACCACGATGAGGATGGCCCGCCAATCAGGCAATCAAATCAAAGGTCTAGTCGTTCATGACCAACCAAGCCATCGTTTGAAAAAAAAAAAAAATCACAACGGAAGCCCACTAAGCTCACAGAAAAAGCATCCACTTCAGAAAGCAGAGAGCACGTTGGCTCCGCTAGTGGGGCCGAGACAGGTGTGAGTCTGTGATCAGAAGGACTTGCTTCCCAAGCCCAGGAAACCCGAGAGCCGTCTTTCCTCTGAGGACGGCTGGCGGGGCCTAGGTCTCCCTGTAGCCAGACCCCAGGAGTGCGATGTTCAGCCCATACACGAGGCCTCCTGGATTCGTTTCCATTTGCTTCTATGGGAAGCACCAGCAGCTGGCAGAGCTCTGGTCCCGATGAAAGGAGTCTCTGCAGACAGAGGACCTGGGAACAGCCTGGGAGAGCCAGGAAAGGGCGAGGACCCTTGCTCTCCATCCTCATGATGGACGCCACGGCTTCCGGAACCAGCTCACAGAGATGTCGATCCACCTGTAGACTCTTTGGGTCTCTTACCGGCTGCCGTCATCGAGTCCGTGCTGATGCATAGCGAACCCCGTGGGGTTTCTGGGGCGTGGTCATGGGAGTAGACAGTTCGCTCTTGCTCCCATGGAGCTGCTGGTGGTTTTACACTGCTGACCATGCAGATCACAGCCCGATATGTACCGTTCCTACACCCCCGGGGCTCCTGGGGTCCTTTGGGTGGGCTGCCAAGCACGCATTTTTGACACTAAGACCGGCTCGGGTGACGCGATTTCCCCTAGGACTCTTGGCTGCGCAGGCAGGCTAAAGGAGAAGGCTGGGATGTGAATCCCTTGAAACAGTTGGTGGACGGGCTTAGGCACAGCCCCCCGAAAGACACGGAGAGCCACATAAGAAGGGACCCAAGGCAGGACCAGTGGAGACATGCCTCTGGGGGAGGGGGTCAGGCGGGGACCCTGGCAGTGATCTTGGCCACCAGAGTCTTTCCTGGTGTCAGACTGACCCTGGGGACTGAGCGGGCGCAGGGAGGGAAGGGTGGAGGAACGACTCCATTTCCAAGCCGGCCAGCGAGAAACGGGCCAGGATGGAGAGGACGGAGGAGGAAACCATGGGGCCTGCTGAGGAGCGGTGTGGGGCTCTGTGATGTCACCCTGAGGGGCGGGTGCCACCATCCGAAGTCCCCTTGCATCTCCTGAAGAAGCTTCCCTCTGCCCGAGAACAAGAACATGTACGCCCTGCTCACCGCCCCCCACCCCACCCCCCACCCCCGTAACTGTTCTCCTGAACTCAGAACTCCTAGGTGACCCTTTGAAAGCCCTGTTTTGATGCCAAGAGTCCTTGTGAATATCCTGGAAGGCGGGGTGGAGGTGGGGGTGGGGGGTTGTCGTTCAATTAAACAAGCCGAGAGGAACGGAGGACGGCCAAGGTAAACCCAGGTTGTGGGCTGCACCCCACACTCCTCCCCTCGGCTCTGGGATGGTTTTTGTAAAGGTGGGTTCTCCTCCTGCCGGCAGGCAGTGGGAGACGGAGCTGTGGGGGACTAGAGATGGGAAGACGCTCTGGAGGGGGTGGTGGAACGCCGACATGTCGGTGGAGCCCCCTGCAAGCTTAGTCTTAAAAATATGGCTTGGAAGACCTTGTATTTTGTAAGTATCCACCAAAGAGGTGTGGTGGACGGAGAGCAGACCTGTGGTCAGAACACTTTGGTGGGAGAGCCATTTGCACCAATAACTCCCTGGGTGACCCTCACTCAGTTCTTCCCCTCCTCTGAGCCCCGGTTGGCTTGTCTGCAGAATAAAATCATAGGAAATGACCTGGGGGCCAGCGTCTGCTAGACTCGTGCAGTGAGGAAGCCCTTGTAAGACAACGAACTAACTAGCTGACACTGGTGCTTCTTCCTCCTCCTCCTTCCTTCTCCTCTCCCCACTCCCCGGCTCTCATGTCTTCACCCCACAGCGGCCATCACTGTGGTAAACCTGAGGGTAAGTCAGTATCATGATAAAAAAAACAACTTTTCTTAAGTAAAAATATCGAAAGTGAAGCGCCCCCTTCTACGTCCCCCCCACATCGCAGGTGCTGTTTCTGTCGCTCTGACTGTCCTGGAAAATGCCGTGCTCTTGGGCTGCAAGCGCCTCAAGGCAGCAGCTTTGCATCCTGCAGGGACCCCGTGTTCTGAGTTTGGGGAACAGAAAAGCAGCCTGAATGGGGTAAGATTGGGGTTGTAGGGTGGAGGGATAAGGTTATCCAAAAAACGTTCTGGAAAGAAAGCCACTTGCTCCCCTCCAAGAGAGAGCAGCTGCATCGATGCGCTGGGAAGAAGGGTTCCTCAGCCCAACGTTCCTGGCCTTTTCCTCACCAATGCGGGTGTCAAGGTTCTTAAAACAGCTTCCTAATAAGTACCCCCACCCACGGCCCCCTGGTTGTCCTGTGTTTTCTGAGACGACTATCTACCAAACAACTATCTATCTATCCATCCATCCATCCATCCATCCATCCATCCATCTAGACGACTCCTTTGGGATCCCCAAAGACAAGTGTCATTACCTCTTGAGGTGAGCTCTCTTCCTGGAACTGACCTCGCCCAGCAGATCCCCTCAGAAGCCGCCGTGTTTTCTGTGACCCTTGACCTCAGAGTCAGATTGGTAAATCCGAGAAGCACCCTGGTTTGTGGTCCGTCCCATACAGGCGTCTTCACTGGCTTCCATCGCTTCAAGGGCTGATGGAAAGTTCAGCCCCAGTCGCTGAGCTTCGTGCAGCCCTGCTGCGCGCACTGAGCACAAAGCTGGCTGAGGCCGGGATGCTCGCTTTCACACGGAGCCTGCTGGCCCTCGCCTGGGGGGTCCAGACTTCAGCAGTTATCACCTCCATGGTCATTCTCCTTCCACCAAGGTCGGAACTGCAGCCACACGCTCTTCCGTTGTCAAGGTCTTGCCTCCCTGACTCATCCTTGAGGCCTGCCCACTGCCCTAAAATGCGTGCCCCATCTAAAAATGAGTGTTCACACGTGGAATCGCGTTCACATACACGTGTGATAAGAGTCCGTGATCTGGGAAGGCATCGCTTGAGTTTTGGTAAAATTTTGATAGTCGCTTTGACCTCAAAATAGTTTTTTTTCCATGGTACTAAAATATACCTTAAAAATTTTTTTTAAGACCCCACTATGGAGACGAGGAGTCCTGGTAGCACAGTGGTTTAGGGCTGGGCTGTGAACCACAAGGCTGGAGATTCAAAACCACCAGCCGCTCCTCG